CTAAAAATGAACAAACACATGGGCCTCTGCTGCCAAACTGCCCTGAACTGCCCTACTGCCCTGCTGCTGCAGCTGCATGGCACTGTCCGACTACCCCAGCTGCCAGCCCTGCCTGCCCTGTTCCAGTTCAACCTCAGGTCTATCTTGGATGTCATCCAAAGTGCTGCAGCTCCACCAGCCCTGGAATCTCAGTATTGGGCTGTGCCAGCTTTGGGAATGGGGTTCTTCACTGCTCAGTCCCTTCCACTCAAACAAGGGCAAAGAGTGGGAAGGAAGGTGCACACTGGAAATGCCAAGTGGGCATCTACCTCCAAGAGCTCATGAACAGAAATTGTTCACCTTTGATTAATGCATCGCTCCTAATGAATAGCTGGTCCAGCTGTATTTAACTGCCTGGTTTAGGCAGATATGGCTGGAAAATCTCACACATGTCAGATTTTTTCTCATCCTAAAGCATCACATTATCACTATCCTCTTGTAGCATTTTTCAGCCAACTCTTTCCTGTGATGATTTTCAAAGGATAAAGAATGAGCACCCTGGTGACATTTCCAGTATCTATAAATATCTCCCCGCCACCCTGCCTGCCCAACTGGTGGATTACGCAGGAAGATATATATAATAAAACAATCAGATCCATTTTGTTGTCAACATCCCATTCTTTTTCATTTGGCAAAAGAACAGCCCAGGCTGTTGCTCTGGAAAGAGCAAGAAGTGCCTGGGGAATTACTGAACTTACTCCTTCCTGTAGGTAAGGGGGCTCATTGGAGGGCAACACTGAGGAGAGAGAGGCCCTAGTATAATGGATAAAGGAAGATGGGTTTTAAAAGGGAAGAAGTATGAAGTTTAGGAGAGCAACACTCTCCAGAATGGCCAGAAACCCCACATACAGAGCACTGAGAAGCTTGTGGTAAAAGGAGCATTGAAGAAATACCAAAGAAGGACTAATCCAGCAACGTTATCTGGAGCACAATGCACTTACAATACATTCTGGTCCTGCTTTTATGTCCTTAATTCAGCAGTGCTCTGTTTATGCAACTAAACCTCCTGCATGGTGAAATACATAGCGAATTTAATGCACCCAAATTCACAAAGCTGTGGGAAGTGCCTAGTGTACATTACATACCCAATTGGCAGGTTTTAATTTAAATTATCAGGGATATAATTTAATATCATAGCTTTCCCTAGCTAACACACCTCTTCTAGCCAGATACTTATTATGTGGGGCACTTTACAGAATCTGTTACCTCATTTATGGATTAAGAAGCATATTAAAATAGGAAGCCTAAGAGCTCTCTCCCTTGCATTAGATATTTGCAGATGTCTTTTGCTAAGCCATAACTAGCTTCATCCTTAATTTTGGTGGGCTGTGACTTGGAGACAATGCTTGGCAATTAAACAAAGTTCTTACCAGAAAGATTTTCCACCTTACCTTGGTCCAGAAGGTCATCATTCTCCAGGACCGCAAACACAAGGACTTTGCATCTCCTCATTCCTGCAGGAAAACAGCTGTTGTGTTGCTCAGACCAAAAGAGTTACTGTGGATCTCCTGCAAAGCCTGAGGACTTTACCCTTCTACATTACTCTGGGTAGGAGGAAAATACACTGTGGAAAGCTGATACGCTGGACTGGCAGATAGTTGACCCTGTCCACATCAGTGTGTACTGAGGCAACCCATAAAGCTGTTCAGTTTGATATGAAGCTGAAAAACCAAACACTACCCACAGAAACGCTGTCATGGTTTAACCCTAGTAGGCAGCTAAGCACCACACATCCACTTGCTCACTCCCTACCAGTGGGATGGGGAGAAAGTCAGAAGGGTAAAAGTGCTAGAACTAGTGGGTTGAAATAAAGTCTGTTTAATAGGTAAAGTAAAAGCCATGTGCACAAGCAAAGTAAAAGAAGGAATTAATTCACTACTTCCTATTGGCAGGCAGATGTTTAGCCATCTCCAGGAAAGCAGGGTTTCATCACGCGTAATGGTTACCTGGGAAGACAAATGACATAACTCCGAATGTCCCCCTTCTTCCAGCTTTTATTGCTGACCACAACATCATATGGTATGGAATATCCCTTGGGACCCCCTTGGGGTCAGCTGTCCCAGCTGTGTCCCCTCCTGACTTCCTGTGCATGCCCAGTGTACTCAACTGGTGGGGCAATGTGAGAAGCAGAAAAAGCCTTGACGTGGTACAAGCACTATTCAGCAATAACTAAAACATCCCTGTATTATCAACAGTTTCCATCACAAATCCAAAACATAGCACCATACAAGCTACTATGGAGAAAATTAACTCTGTTCCAGCCAAAACCAGTACAGCTCCACACATCCATCTTTTTAAGGCTCTAATTACATCCTTAACTACAGCAAGAACTTCAAGAATGGCAGGATACAAGTGAGAGGGTTAAAGGAGATCAAGATGTGGATCAGTGATGTGATGGAACTGGGCAACAAGTTGAATCATCCTTTTCTCCATCTCCCAGCATCAGACTCTCCCCAAGTCTCAGTTTAATAGAAAGCTGGATGAGTCTTTCTGAGCATCCCCCTTGCCCACAACTGACCAGCACACAGGCCTGTGCAGAGCTCCTGTGTTAGGAGCATTTCCCAGCAGGCCAGGGAAGGGTGGTAGTATATGGTGACAGAAAAGGAGTGACTGTGGTGCCTGCTGGAAGTTTCTTGGGGTATGACATGCAAAACATCCATGCTTCCAGGCACTGCAACACATGAAGTACAGTAGAGCCTAGAGGGGGACATCAGCACTGTTGCTTCCTGGATTTTGGCTTTCTGTTTGTTAGGGGATTTCATATTACCTGCCTCTTTAGGATGCCCTGGCTGAGGAACAAATAGTCTGTTGAAACATCTGATTTATAGGTCCCTCTGGAAAGCTTCTTCTGTAGAGCTCTCAAGTGATGCTGGCAGGCTCCTGTTCATTGAGACAGCAATGGGCTTGGCCCAGGTTTTGGAGGAACCTTTCACAGGATTCTCAAAATGCTCTTCAGGGTGGGATTGGTGGCATATGGCAGGTCAGAGTGGGCTCAATATGGTACAGCAAGTAATCCCCAGATACCCTTTGTGGTTTGTACATGACCCTCTTACCCATATTCCTTCCAAGATCCACTCTACCATCCTGAGCACTGCACATGCATCACAGCTGCATTTCAGGCCAATAGAGCATCTTGTACTGCTGCTGCTTGTCTCAAGTGCAAATACATTGCTGGGCAGCCCAGAAGACATGGTACATGGATGCACTGCCCTTGCCAAACCACTACTCTTTCCTGCCTACTGGTGTGCAAGGACTCTTGTAATGCTGAGCTTCAAATTCAGCTGGGAAGCATAATTTCTAACCTGGAGGTAGACCCTTCTGCCATGGTTGCAGTGGCCGTACCACAGGCTGATCAAGCCCAGCTCACCTCATTTAAGAAGTCTAGAAGGCAAACATCTTGGTCTGAGCCACTCACTCCATTTCATCCCATTGAGCACAGGGAAATGAGAGCCAGATCTGCAGGATGAGGTGGAAGGACCAAGTCCCTCATGAAGTATCAGGGCAGCTTGAGGTAACTCACTCAGACCTGCAGGTCTTCCCAGGCTGTGACCTCCCACCCTGTGAACCCCACGGCTTCCTGGAAACAGGATCCTGGAAGTTTCAATGCTACCATGTAGGCAGTGGGAACAGAGTTGGCTCGCGATCCTCCCCTTTCCCCAGCTGATGCTAAACACCTGAGCACATTCAGGGCCAACTCCGGTGAGTGGGGACCTTTTAAGACGAGGCAGTGTTTGTAGGTCACAGTCCCTGCTGGAGACCTGAGTCTGGCTGGGAGATTGTAACCTGGCATTGGGTGGTGGGAAAGTTTGGGGGTGGTCATCTGTGCTAATTCCACTGAGACCAAATCCTCTGCATATCTGCCATCTTCCCCTTCCCTCCTACACAGCGTCCTTGCTGACACACAGGCTGATACCTGCAATGAGCTCAGAGATGGCAGTGAACCACACAGATGAAAAACCCATGGCTGTTTGCATGCTGAGGACCAGGAGGATACTGTGCACTGTGTAAGGAGGAGAAACAGCAAATATTAGACACAGGCAAAGTCCTGTGCTATGCAATGAAGCACTGCAGATGGAACAGAGAGCATGGCACAGCTCCATTTCCCCAGGCAACCTTACTTCTCACATTTCCTAGCTCCCAAGTGTTCAGCTTCTGCAGTCCAGAGCAATGCTCTGTGTGTCTGGCTCATTAAGATAATGCACACCCCAGTCATGCCTCTGTGCTTTCTGCTCTAGAAACACATCAGTTCTCACCCACTGCATTTATAAGTGCAACTATCCAAACGGTTGTGTTTGTCCCACATGACCCTGCATGCACTCTCCATACAGTGTGTAAACATGTGATATAGGCCTCCACGCAATTTTTAAAGACTAGTCCAGGAATAATGATTTTTATTAGTAAATTTCTATCATTATGAAATATTCTTAAATAATCCCTGTGCTACATTTTACTGTTGATTACATTAAGCACATTGGATATTAACACCATTTTTAGTGTTTCTAAAATTTACAGGAATATTAGCAAGAAACAGTTAATATCCACAACACCTGCTGGTCCCCCAACTTTTGACATTACACATATGACAAAGAAATGCTCATGTATAGAAAAGAACCAGGTCTAAAGAATTTCACAGGTCACTGAACTATCTAAGGATATTGGAAAAGGCCACTGACTTTAAAACTACTTTGAATCACAAAAGAGAAATAAACATTAAATTCAGATTTGAGCTTAGCACTCTCTGGGTGTGGAAGATGTGGCTGTGGGTTGGGATCTTCCAGTGCTCCAGTGCAGCAGTGTAGGAATTAGAGGACATTGATTTACAGCAGCCAAGAATCTGGTCCATGCATCCTGGACTCTTTGCACATCTGTCACCTTCTTGCAGGCTCTATTTAGGCCAAGTGCCCAATACTCAGAGAGATGGAGCTTGGCTTCAACCTCAGGATATAATCTTTTTTAATTGTCTGAGAAAGACATTGTTAAGGATTTGCAAATGATATGTTTTGCTGGTGAGCCTAGATCTGTAGCAGCAATGCCACACCAGCGAGCACCCACTTGGAAGGATTTTCTCTAGTTTTAAGGTTAAAAGTCCACACATAAGTTGGTCCTCTTTGGCGTGTTTTGTATACAGGACATGGGTACATACTATGGACGTCTTGTTTGTCATCAGGAATGGCTTTGATGAAAATGACAGGCATGGCTGGGGTTAGTTCCTTAAGCCTGGCATCTGTGATTATGCTGGTCTACAAAGGAAAGAAGACAAAGACTTAGTTAGATTTCCAAGATATCCATCAGCTGTACCCCAATACTTATGATCCTCTGTAATGTTTATACAAGCCGGACTTATTGGGCAAGTACGAGCACCTTTCCTGAGATCAAGGGGGTGGATGAGTCTACTTGAGGTAAGGAGTATCTGGATCAAGCACCCATCCTATTTCATCAGAAGCCTCCATCAGGCATAGCTTATTCCAAGGGATGTGCACAGATGCCTGCTCTCACCAGATGCCCAAACCTACACACACATGAGTTGGACTTTGCAGGGCAACAATGTTCCTGGCTGCGTCCAGCCACATCATCCTCATGCTGCTCTTAGTCAAGGTTTTGCCAGGCCAGAACTACTTCATGGGAAGCATTGCTTGTGCTAGGACCAATTGTGGACACCTGAAAAAGGCCAGGATGGAGAACAATGCTCACCTGAGAAGAGTCTAAAAGGCACCAAGTAAGTCTCCAACCACACCACCAAAATTTGAGCATCACCTGGGATACAGTTGTCTGTGCAATGAATGCACTCAATGTTTTGTGTGGCCCCAAAAGGTACCACAGCCTTGTTTCCACTCTCACAGGTGCTCACACCAACAAGAGGGATTCAGAAGGACTATTCATGAGGGAATATTATCATTAAATAACAAGTCCACATTATCCTCTTCAAAGAAATGTTCTTGCTCAGCAGGCTGCCTGACCCAAGAGAAGGATGGTATGCTGTCAAGGCATGAAATTAATGGCTTGTTTCTCTAACTTGGGTCTCTCTGGCAACTTCTGTTTCTCTTTCTGACAATAAAATGCCCTACATATCAATCAATTTCCAGGAAAGCCTGCAAAATTGCTTATGGAAGCTAGAGAGACCAAATGAAAACAAATACAGAAATGGAAATAAGACTTCTCAGTACTAAAGAAACTGCCTCTCACTGCATCTTAGCTTCACATATCATTATTGTTTCAAATGCTCTCAGATAAGACTTGTGGGATGAGATTCAACCTCTCTAGTAGTTTATTTAGTTCTGCAAATGAATGAAGAAAAATAATCCCTCTTGCGACACACCTCAGTTTAATTGTACTAATGCCATCTGTCATACTAACCTGTGATAAATCCAACTCTGATTTAGAATTTTCTATTTCCAACATGCTGAACAAACACTAAATAATTCTTATAATACCTTGCAAAGAAGCTATTTATCAAGTATTATGCGCTCTTTTTAAATCCACATCTTTCATTTCTGAGGCTGGATTTTGATCAGATGTCTTTTTTTACTGTTGACAATTCTTCAAATCAAATTTCCAAGATATATTCTACCTATTTCTGGGTTAACAAGAGCTGAAATCTTCCTGAGATATCTCTGTGGAACATATCATTGTGTTATGTCTGGGCTGATTTGCATTTGCATTCTTTATCACTCTCATCATCAGAAATTAATTCTACTCCGAAAGCAATTTTCCCTAACTACTGGCACAGCACACCAGGTAAAAAGCCATTGTTCTGTGCTGAGAAAGCTCAGGCCTCAGATCCTAAAGAATTCTTGACTTCTGGTTGTCCTGGCTTCTCAACAGACAATTTGAAGAGTGGACATATTATGCTGCCCCATATTGATGGGTCCAAAGACACAAAACAGCTGTCACAAGCCAGGGATGCTAATAGATGGGCCCAAATACATATGCAGTAAGTCAATATCCCCTCCCACTCAACTGCATTTTGAGGTGTTACTAGCACAGATGCACGTGCACCACAGCTAATTTAGGGTCAGTTCGCTTAAAGACCTTCAGCATGGCTTGGTTGTCTTTCAGACAGAGTTGCCTCTGTTTGCAGGGAAGCGGGGCTAGTGATCTGACCAGCAGTGTAGCCAGCAGGGAACATCATGCCAAGGTGGTCCAGAGATTGCTGGGGTTAGTGGCTTTCAGCTGGACATGGGGAACAAGAAAAAGAGCCATCCATGGAGCACACAGTCAAGAAGGCCTAATGATGTGCTGTCCAGTAAAGCCAAATGAGAGAGGAATTTTTATCACTGAGTAGTTTAAGAGTCAAAATACAGATGGAAAATGGTTTGCCTAGTTATTAATTTTTCAAAACAACCATAAATAAGAGACTAGCTGTTCATAGCACAATTTGCAAGTGTCCCCTCCATGGCTGCATTAAGTTTATCACTGGAGACCTCAGCTTGAGCCACATCCTACTCTCGCTCTCATAGCTCACAAATACATGGGTGTTACTGACAGTTTACATCTGCAGGAAAAAGCTTCATACGATGTCTTAGCTCACCCCTCTGGGAAAAATTTCAATCTCTGATGCATGAGATATGATGTACCAGATGCCTCTGCAGAAGAATGCTGCAAGCAGTGACGTTTGGGACTGTAGCACCAGAACTGGGCTGTGCCAGGGCTGGGTTGCACACTGGGTGTTGTTTTCATCTGCATCTGCTGCTGGGAGCATCTCAGATAAAAATGAGTGGTGTGCAGCTGTTGCCAAAGATATCGAGCTACTTGAACCGTCAAATGTGACTGTTCCTTGACACATAGATCTGCCCTTCTGAGCCTCTCTACTGGTTTAAGACTGTCACTTTACACAGGACTAGCTTGAAAAAGTACACAGAAACCATAGCTGGTGTGGCTTGAAGAAGGCACAATACCCTCAGCGTTAAGCCACTGCTCAGCACGCTTTGCAGTGACTGTACATCTCTTTCAAGGACAAGGCGGTGTGCTGTCTATGCCTGGCAAAGCTTCATGCAGCACATGTGGTACAAAACCCACCTCTCCCCTTGGCCAGTAGCAGGGCACATACTTGGCATCAAACTCTTCATTGCTGGGAGCAAGAAAGCCAGGAATCAGTCAGCAATCTCCCATGGCTTGAGATAAAATGTCTTATACTGTCACCAGTCAAACTATCTCTCAGTGAGTCCCACTGACTTTAACAGTGCTGCAGCAACAGTTCATTTCGACCCAAAACAACCTGCTTGGTTTAATTTAGTCTAATAGCTGCCTGCTATTTTGTAATGAATGTTTTATAAATTTAAGATACCCAAGGGCAAAGATAAATGTTTAAATAAATAGAAAAATTTGAGTAGCAGAACATAGAGGGACTTTTTCCTTTTTTGGAGTCACAATCTAAATGTGAAATATTCTTTTAAAAGTTGACATGTTCCCCAGAGGAGTTCTTCTAAACATGACCTGCCATTCTTATCAGAGGATTAATTTGGAAGGAGTATACAACCCAAAAGAACTGTGCACCTGTTTTAAAAATGTTGCACCTGTTAATATATACTGGTGCTCACTGGATTACAGGTAAAATGAATAGTTCCACTAGGTAGAAATGATATTTCAGTGTGAGCAGCAACATATGAAAATATTCTCTTCCTTTCTGAAATAAATTGAAGCATGATACCCAGAGATTATGAATGGTTCTATAAATGTAATTGCTCAGTATCTTTCAATCACAAGGAAAATGTAAACAGAAAACCACATTTACTAAAGTCTATGTGGTCTCTGAAGACAAACCTCATTGCTGAATGCTATCACCCATACAAGTTACTGGAGGGAGGCAGAAGGGAGAAGTCATGTGTTTCCCAAAGGATTTCTGGCTTTGCACCACCAAAACCAAAACTTTTCACTCTTCACTTCCATTACCACTTGGGGATGGGTAAAACCTAGGCAGAACTCAGCCATTTTGACCATTATATTTTCTAGTAATGGTGGTAATGACGGTAAAGGAAAACATAACACCAGTCACTGGAATCTGTTTTTAATGGAGTATTCAATATGCAAGACCAGGAATTTTTTAAAACTTTCACCATACTTTTGTGTCCAGCTGATTTGTATCAGCTTAAAATGTCAGTTTTTGAGAGTAAGTGAAATCCAGTGCTCCCTGTAGTAAGGGGCTGTGATCTCCAAGAGCTGCAAGGAGTTTTGTAAGGCAGCCACACCAAAGGCTTAGACAAGGGAATAGGCAGGGAACTGTTAGGACCAGGGCCTGAGAAATAGACTGGGGTAGTCTCTGTTCTGCTACTGTGACTTCTGCTATTAGCAGAGCTAAAACCAGCAAAGCAGGATATCTGACCTTATACCCACATGACATCTCTACTGCAACCTTTTGACAGAGCCTTTGCCAATGATCCTGACTGCCTGTGGCTTTCCAGACCCAATGTGCATGTCAACCCATTTCCAGAGAGGAAAATGGAGCCTTGGATATCCCAAGGATTTGTGATAAAATCCACTGGATGCCATCAGTCAGTGAAAATTCAAAGCTTTGCCTAATTTCCTATCCTTCATGGAAAACTATTTCAAAGAGGGAGCAGCAAAGTAAGTAGAGATTATTAGATCTGAATTGCAATGTCAGGCTGGGATATGGTATATAACAGGCATGGCATCTCTCCTCAGCTTCCTACCACCAAGCCCCACAACAGATAAAGGAGGATCTTTAAGGTTAAGACTCTAAAGAGCAGCCTCTGAAATAAAAGTCTCTTCTTGCGAGGGGGTAAATTTGACACAGATAAGTAAGTTCTGGGTGACTCACTTTGATCAGCCTTCACTCCTTCACAGATCACTGGCAGCGGGAGCATTGCACTGGCTGCCCAGAGTAAGAGCTGCATGAATCACCCTGTCATTTAATTCTCACATGCAGCACAAATTGGGAGTCATGGTACAACAGGCCAGGCAACTCAGACGACCAAGCCTAGTGGGGATTTGTTAGGCTCTCGCTCTGCAGATTGCACTCCTAACAGCTGACAACTCTCATAAGGAATTACAGGGACAGTTGTGCTCCGCTGGGATGCTGGTCTGAGGTGCACTGCAAGAGGAGTGCTGACAGCTGTACGGGCAGGAAATAGCAAGTGTACATGTTTCCCTTCAGCTGCCTGATTGAAGGGTATGGTTCTCACCTTCGCTGCCCTGAGGCTGGCTACGCTACAACTGAAAGGTATGGGGCCACATCCAGAAGGGAAAACAAGAAGAGCAAGGGCCACCCACACTGTCTGTTTGTCCAGGATCAGCCTACCTGCTCCTTGCTGAGTCATCAGCTGAGTCTGCATTGAACATACAGGTTAGACTTTTGTGCAAGCTTTATTTGCCACCCTAAATGGATGGCTAAAGGTTGCAATTAATTTTTGGCCACAAGCTCTATCTATGAAGATGACATCCGGCAGCACCCGGCAGTGGAAGGACAGTGGTCTGGATTTGGCATATCCCACCCATTCAGTTCTGGGGTCATGTAGGAAATCAGAGTCCCCTCCTTTCTCCTCACTGCTGCTAAACAGGTGACAATAATGACAATGCAGAAGTCTGCCATGTAACTTTTGGAGGCAGCAGTGAAATCACAACCATGCAAAACTGCAGGGACAATACAGCCCTGAGGAGACCCCATGTTTTCTATCTGTAGTAACACCGACCACAGTTTAGTCAATGTACACTGAGGTTGAGATTCACCTTGTAAAAACTAGATGTATCAATCCAAGTTGGCCACCCTGACCTCCCTTCACAGACATGAAACAGACAGCTCCAAGGGATGATTTATCTGACTACCTTGGATACCCACTCTAGGTTGCAGAGGAGAGGTCCATCTTTCACATCTTTGCATTCCTGAAGAGGCAGCTCAAAAGGCTATTTTAGATGAGTGCCTGTCTGGGCTGAGAAGTTCCCCAAAGTACAGTACCAAGCAATAAGGGCATAACATCCATGGCTTCTCTCTCAACACAAGAGCCTTAGTGAGCTTACCTGTGCATCCCAGCGTGCACCCTCCATGAACAAACCATGGACATATGCTCCTTCCCGAGGACAACTGGCAAAATCTTCTCTGTTCTTTTTTGTCACATCGCACTGCAAGGTCATCTTGTCCAAAGGCCACTCATTCTTTCGGGCTGTGGACTGCATGATGGCTGTCAGGAAAGACTGAGGATTGAAGAATCCAGCAAGCCACACTGCAGAAGGTAAGGAAAAGTCTCCTGTCCAGGCCTCCAGCTCCTTGATGCGAGTGAGGAGGTCAGCAAACCATGTGCCCAGGCTGGCTGTGGAAGGGTAAGCCCTCTTTGTCCAGGACTCAGGCACTGTGTCCAAGAAGAGGGCATTCTGCAGGTTCTCCATGTCACTTGTCATGGTCAGTTCTCCCTGAGTGAGAAACAGTATAATTAGCACTGAAAACATTTAACCTGAACAAAGCCTGCTTCAAAGCAGAGGCTGAGCTAGGAAGTGCGGAAGAGCATAACAACCTACAAGTGTTCACATACTGTGAATTTCTTCATGAGTTTTGAGTTTTCATTAACACCTTCTATTGCATATTCCTGCACCCTCATCTTCCCTACTGTAAAAATACTACTTGGAGGAAAAGATGTGTAACATAGTTACAGCGAGCATGGGTGTCCCTCAGTTGTCCCCGTGTTGTTTCTGTTTTCTCTCTTTGACTGAAGGGGAGATTTTCAGAGGTGCAAAGCTGTTCTCACACTGCCAGGGCAGGATACTGGATTTTCTAATGATCTACTCCAAAACTGTCCAAAACTGTCCAAATGTTTGTTATTTCAAGTCCTATCTCCTTCCTCTCCTCCACTTCCCCTCACTCCCCTCATCCTTTACTACTTTGCAGTGCAAATCTTGCTTTTTGACTTCACATGTTGTCTGCAAATGAAATCACAGTTTCATTCACAGCAGGGAACCACACAACATATTAATATATGATTCAGCCAAGTGAGATACAAAGGGAGGTTTGGCTTTTCTTCTTTTCCTTTATCCAGCAATAAATAATTTTTAAAGCTTTTATAAACCTGTATCAGTTTTGCCCAGGCAGGAGAAGAGCTGGAACATCACTGCATGGCCAAAAAGGGCTTCTGTACAGCAATAACAGCATCCCTCTTGAACTTCTGATACTCTGCAGAGGGTGCCCAGTGTCTCCTAGTATAAAATTAACAAAATTCCTGATGTATCCAGCTGAAATAACATTAAATCTAAGCAAGAGATGCCTGGATGGTACCATTGCTGAAAGGAAAGCTAAGAGAAGCCCTTAAGAGATGCAGCAGTTTGTGCAGGAGGTTGTGCAGAGGGGCATACCGATGGGGCTCACAAACTCTGCTGAGGGCAGCATATACTTGCTTAGCAATGGTGGTGACATGCCATGGGGCATTCTCCCCAGCACCATCTGGAGCAACTGTCCCTGGCACAGCAGAGGCCTCAGCTTGGACCAAGCTCCTGAGGGAGGCTGCAGCTCATCATGTCTAGGACTGCAGGCAGTGCATGGAGCCTCTCACTGAGCCTGGGGCTGGGAGACTGTCTCCTTGCTTGTAGGAGATGTGCATTGGTGGAGAACCTGTGCCACCAAGTAAAGGATCTGCAGAAGGAGGCCAGCAAACTGTTTAGCATCAGAGCTGATAAGAAAGAGATGAACTGGATCTTCTCTGAAACCCTGCAGATACAAGGAGCCTCAACTCCCAACAGTATCGAAGGAAGGCAGGCGGAGTCTGTGCCTATCTGCTTGGGAAGGGGAGACTCCCATGATGGCGAAGGCTGGAAGCTTGTGACTAGCACCAACAGGAGCAAGGATTCTGTTCCCCCTGCAGATCTGCAGCTACAGAATAAGTTCAGTGCCCAGGTAGGACACAAGCGGTTGGGAACTCGGCCCATCGCAGTATCCATGCTGATGGAGTGTGAGCCATGCAGCAGCACAGGAGAGATCAGTGAGTGACAGTATGTCCTGGTTTCAGCTGGGATAGAGTTAATTTTCTTCCTAGTAGCTGGCATAGTGCTGTGGTTTGGATTTAGTAGGAGAAGAAAGTTGACAACACACTGATGGTTTAGCTGTTGCTAAGTACTGATTATGCTAGTCAAGGACTTTGCAGCTTCCCATGCTCTGCCAGGTGCACAAGAAACTGGGAGGGGGCACAGCCAGAATAGTTGATCCAAACTGACCAAAGGGCTATTCCATACCATATGACGTCATGCTCAGTATATAAACTGGGGGGAGTTGGCTGGGGAGCAGCGATCGCTGCTCAGGAAATGTCTGGGTATTGGTTGGCGGGTGGTGAGCAATTGCACTGTGCATCACTTGCTTTGTATATTATTATTATCATTATTATATTGTTACTATTATCTTTACTATTTTACTTTATTTCAATTATTAAACTGTTCTTATCTCAATGCAGGAGTGTTTCTCTTACTCCTCCGATTCTCTCCCCATCCCATCAGGGCAGGGGGAGTGAGCGAGTGGCTGCATGGTGCTTAGTTGCTGGCTGGGGCTAAACCACGACACAGTAGTAGGTGACTCCCTGCTGCAGAGCATGGAGGCCCCCACCTGCCAACCTGTCTTGCTGTCTGGGGACATTTACTGCATGCTGGGAGCTTGGACCCAGGACACTGTGGAAAGACTGATGAGGTTTGTCCAGCCTTCAGACTGTTACCCCCTTACACTCTTCCACAAGGCCACCAATGATACCCAAAGATGGGTGTTCTACCATTCAGAGGGACATGGACAGGCTGGAGAATTCAGCTGAGCGGAACCTCATGAAGATCAACAGAGGGGAAATGCCGAGTCTCACACCTGAGGAGTAATAATCCCATGCACCAGTACACACTGGGGATCAACTGCCTGGAAAGCAGTTGCAAGAAAGGACCTAGGAGTCCTGGTGGACAACAAGCTGACCGTGAGTCAGCAATGTGCCCCTACAGCAAAGGCCACCAGCGTACTGGGATGCATTAGGAGAAGCATTGCCAGCAGGTTAATGGCAGCACTCTGCTCAGCACTGGTGAGGCCACATCTGGCATGCTGGGTCCAGCGCTGGGATTGTTGAGCCTCAAGAAGAGATGGCTCAGGGAGGATCTTTTCAGTATCTGTAAATATCTGATGGTAGGAAGTAAAGAAGATAGAGCCAGGCTCTTCTCAGTGGTGTCCAGTGACAGGACAAGAGGCAATGGGAACATCTTAAAACACAGGACACTTTTTTACTGTGAGTGTGGTTGAACATTGGAACAGATTACCCAGCGAGGCTGTGGAGTCTCCACCCTTGGAAATTTTGAAAACCCAGTGGGGTGTCTTCCTGGGCAACCTGCTCTACACCTCACCCTGCTTTGACCATGGTGTTGAACTAGACCATCTTCAGAACAACTAATCTGTGTTCTGTGACACTCAAGCCAAGCAGTCTGCAAAGACAAAACCTTGCAAATGCAGGCTCAGCTTCTACATGTACATAATGCCCTTCACAATTTAAATCTTTGCATGCCCCATGCTGAGCTAGAGGCGTACAACACACCATAGCAGTTTGGAGACCTATAGTTAATGCTGATCACTGGTTTCCATTATAAACACTTGCATTTGTCCCCTTATCATTTTTCCAAAATTTATGAGACTTACAATTTCTCTTTGCCTCAGGCTGAGTGTTTTTGGAAAGATTAACTGAAATCAGTTGAGCCGTTGCTGAGAACAAGGGCAAGGGAATTGGGTCAGTCTATTCACATTAAAAAATTCCAACTGTTCTTTCACAGGACTTCAGTGCTTCCAGCCATGAGGTCAGCAGAGGTGCCCTTTACTGGAGCCACAAAAGTCTATGAAGCTTTAGCAGAAGTTTAAATCCACTTGAAGCAACCCCAACGTGTTTAGCAATACTTGTCAGAGTCCATCAGCTAAAGATCTTTGCAGTTTATTCCTATGCTGACCATACCCCATGGAGTTCTGATCTGGAGATCACACTGACAAGACACAGTAGGACAAGATCACAGCTAGACACCCAACCAGCCCATGGGAGAGCCATAACGAGTGCCCTTGTTGATGGCCCATGCTGCATCTAGCACTAACAAGTGGAAGTGGGCTCAGTGCTGAGTGATCAAGACTTAGGGCAAACAAGCATGCCGGCACTCTTGGGTTAGCAAGCACTTTCTGAAAGGAAGTACACTGCAAAGAGACCAGAGACTCACGAGCTTGGAAGACAACTTGTCGTCGGAATAGGAATTCTCTGAGCTAACCACACTGTTGCAAATGCAACATTCAGAGCTGCTGGATGACAGCTAAAACAAAGGGCTTGAATGCACATCTACCCAACACACCGTGTCTTATCAAAGGGAGGAAGGGTGTCAGCTGAATTCAGGCACTGGAAATGTCCACTCTAGCACTTCTGGCTTTTTAGCAACACTTATCTTCCCATCCTGCCTCTCTCCCTTCCCTCCCCCCTGCCCCCCCCCGCCAAAAATTTCTAAATATCCACAATAAAATTCATTTTGTCTGGCAATAAGCTAGGAGAGTACTTCAAGGGGATGAGTCTCCCCAGTACCCACCGATTCTGAGGGCACTTTTGTACTGCCCCCATGCCTGGAAGCCACTGCAGCCCTGGGATCCCCATTCACTGTTTTCCCCCAGACATCTATGGTTTCCCATGCAGAAATCACCTCCCTGGGTAATGTTCATCTCTCAGCAGGATGGACTGGTACAAGGCATTAATAAACCTCTGCTCCAAAGATGACCTGTTAAAAGTAATAAGCTTTTAAAGGCAGCAACCATCTGAACTTGGTGGGTTTTCCCATGGAGAACAGATTTCTGGTGGACAGAGAATATCACATGTACAAAGGTTTCAAGATGGTTTTTGTTTTAACACTCTTTAAGCTAAAAGTGACAAATAGGGTTAAATGAAAAAGTGGCAGCAGGACTGTCTGCAATTAGTCCTAAAACATGAGGAACATCTGTAACCACCTTTCAAAATACACATCACCTTCTGTCATTTCATGTGAGCAGGGACCAGGTAAGTCTCTGCCAGTAAATCATCTCATTATTTCTATTCAATGGTTTTACATTTGTAGGGAATCTCAAAATGATGGGTTACCTGGTAAAAGGTCTTTAAAGTCCTGGGTAATTCCAAGTACAAGGGTCAAACACAAATTAAAGATTTCTAATTTTGGTATTTGCCATGAAGTGACAAAGAAATACAAAGGCAGTGCATGCCCCGTGCATTTCCTCTTAGGCACCCGAGCTGTTTCACTTTATCTATAACACATTTTAAGACAATTTACTGACCCTTAAAATGAAAGCTCACAAAACAGAAAAGCATGGCCATGTCTAATCAGAGGGTCTGGTAATGAGCTTCACAAGGCTATCAAAATGATTTGACCTCATCAGGAGGCAGCTGCCATGGCTTTGTTATTTAATATCTTCTGTTGGCACACAAACTCTGAAGTATCATTGTGGTTCCTTCTTTGTTCATTTCACGTGGGTTGTCATCTCCCACCCCAGGAGAGCATAGACCCTGAGAAGACCTATTCAATAGGCTGATCTCTGCCTAAAGCCATGGCAAGACCATGCAGGAAGAAAAAAAAGTCTGAGGGGCAAAGTACTGCACTGGTCACAACAGGACACTGAGAACCATAGGGACTTCTAATAGCAACAATCAGAAGTATTTTGCACTCCTGGAAAGTTTTTAAAGTGGGTAAAAATATTGCAAAATGTATGCAACCAGTCAAATTGATTTAAAGACATAACCCTCATGATCATATATCCTGTCTAGTTTTATTTTCCGGAAACAAATCAATTAGCAAATGTAATTCTCAGGAAGGCTTAAGAAAACCAATTTTAAAGCCTGTGCACTCAAGCATACTTGTTGGAATCTCTTGTGATGGTTCAAAGCATCTATAGCAGCTATCTCACATAGTTGTCCAAAAACAATTATGCATATATGTGCATTTCAGATGCTGAATATTAAAGTGCATCTGGAATGATTCAAGTTACTTTTTTTTTTTTCCCCAAAATGCTGGGAGTAATTTTCATTAAAGACACCCTTGAAGGAAATCCTAATCAGCCTGCAGACATTCCCTCAAGATTGTCACAAATTGTTTTCTCAGTTAAGGTTATTTTCACTTGATACAGTGAAATACCCAGCTAGCCTTACAGAATTTGGTCTTATTTATTTTTTATAATATTTATTATCCTCATTCCGGAGGCTTATCCTTCACTGCAGTTGCAAAATAGAAAATCTGCTTGCAAAAATTACACTGGGTACAACATCAACATACAAGTGTTTCAGCCCAGCCTCTGGTCTCACCGAAGTCACCCAGAACAAAGGGCTTTGAAATGCAACATGCCAGTTATTTTTGATGGCTACCAGTCTATTGCAATTCCTCTTCCTCTTAATGGGATGTCTCTTATTTTTGGACCAAACAATCACTTTCAGCTACACAGGCACAATGAATTATTCAAAAATTCAAATTAGGCATGACATTTCTAAATCGCCTTCTTTTAGCAGATAGTCAGTTAAAAACAATAAGACTTTCTTCCTCTGTGTTTCATTTATCCTTTTCTGAGATCTGTGGTTGCTGTTATGTAAACTCGCCTCCTCTAAGTCCTGTCAGTAAAGATCCCCAATCCCAGAGATTAACGTGCATTAACAGCTCTCATAGGAACTGCTCTCAGAAGGAACAATTACAGAATGATTTCTCTCCCAAACTGAGTGTGAGACCTAGCTGTCAAGTCAGGACAGCAGCACTGCCAACAGAAAGAGCCAGCAGCGGGGCCAAGCACCCCCTGCCCATTATGCGTTACCCAAGGCATGGGAAGGACCCACTGGAGGATGCTGGGCAGTGGTGTGGGTCATGTACGATGTCTGTCTCAGCTCTGCAGGGACACACGTTCAGCCTTTGCTTGGAGGCACGGAAGAATTGTCCACTGGTGGAACCTCAGACAAATTTGCCTCTTCAGCATACACAAGATGAAGAAACACTAACACGAATAGATACTGCTACTCATCTGCTCTTCATAGTCCTTAAGTCCTGACCCTGGCCCCTGAATCACACTGCAGGCACTGAGGCTGTTGGGACCAACCTATGTAGTCATTAGAGGTGCCTTTTTTGCAGATACCATCTCATTTTCCTGCTATGATTTGTGGTATGGTTTTGGGGAGAAATTTGCACCCTCTATTATTGCCTGATTTCTGTGTTTTATTTTGTCTGTGGTTTATTTAAGTCCATGCATCCATTCATTCCCCCTACCAATATTAAATAGCTTATTCTTCTCCATATTGAATCTAATTGCTACACATTGTCCCAGTTACAATTATGCCTTGTTTGGTGCTCCAGGATTGAAACATTAAATCACTTCTGTTTACCTGTCTCAGGAAACAGAATTTTCAATTTCACTGCCTTATGCTAGAAAATAAAGGAAATCTCTTTATAATAATTGACTACATAAATATTAGCCTTTTTTAAAATGGATTGTACATACTGGGCCACCATGAAGTGTATGTGATATGTCTCTCTCTTTAATGAATACAATAAGCATCAGCAATGAATGCAATGCAGAAATGTCTGAGCTAGCATGGACCCAAGCTGCTGGGTTCACAGTTCCCAGCACAACGCAACTGGGATTTACAAGCAGCCTAGTCCTATCCCTGCAGAGCTGCAGCTACCTAAAATGCCAGAGCCAACCCTAGCACCTCTGTGTGCGTGTTAGATATGTCCTTTGAAGATCTCTCTTCAAAGCTGCCCTCAAGAGTAGGCTGGGATTATCATTCAGTTTCAAGACAGGTCCTCCTTGCTCACCTGTCAGCTCTTTCTGCTAACGGGGTCATACAAAATAGTTGCAGTTCCTTCAAGTGTGATGGTTCCCATGCTATGCAAAGCATTTTTATGAGCTGAGTGTTTTGACGAAATAGGATGACAACCTGTCATTCAGGAAATGATGGAACCGGGAATGCCCAGTGACTGATGTCCTTAAATGCTGCCTCACACTATGAAATCATCCAGGGTGCAACTTTGTGTCAATGATGCAGGGAAGGCATTGGGGTAGCATTGAAGCCAGCACCAGCTTTGTGCTGCAAGCTCCAGGCAGCATTCCTCTGCTACACTTAGGCCTTTCCAAGGGTTGTACAGCACCTGGCTATGGTGAAGAGTCTTTTGGGATGACAAGGTGAGGGGGAAGTGTTGCTACAGGGCACCAGGGCTGGCTAGGCAGGTGCTCACTCACTTGCAGTGTAGTCTGTAGCTGGTTTGTCACCTAATGGGCGTCAGCAGCCTTTTATATTTTGTCCCACCAACTGCCTGGGAGGGGATTCAGCAGATGACTTCCCCTACCAGTGGATGCAGCCTCAAAGCACTGCGCTCTTGCACATCCTGCTTAACCCAGAAATTTGCATCCTACCTGGTGTGTTCTGCCAGCCCCAGAGCTCCTCACTGTTCTCCATAAGCGATGGCCAAAGCCACCACCCAGAGGGACACAGACATCACTGTCCTGGAAGCAGAGTCTAGTTTCTTACCAGGGTGGAGAAGCAACTGTGAGTGGAGCAATCATGGACAGTACCTCCATAGGAAGGGTCTGCTCCTGACTCTCCTCCATTAACAAATGACTCATACCAGCAAGGGGAGTTGTATCCCTTCCAAAACTCTTGAGTTTTTAGGCTTTTTTCTTACAGCTCTGAATATTTTTTGTCCTTACACATGACTAATCTTTCCTTTGATTTCAGCTCAGCTTGTGCCTTTAATGACACTTTGTTACAAGTTCCCCCCAGTAACTGGGCATTTTGTGAAAAGGTGTGATTTTTTTGGCTTATCTTTAAATAGGCCACATCTCCATTTCTGAGTGACCTACTGATGCTGTGCTAAAATATCAGGTGGACAGAAATGCTTAGTCTCTGTTCCTAAAAGCAGTCATTGGTATGTGTATCTTTAACCTCTCCCAGTGCCTGCGCTCATGGCCTGCGGACAATGTGCTGTTTGAAATCCATCTGTGAACGCTTCCCCATGGAGTCAAGTTGCTTTGGCAGCCAGCAGTGCTGAATACAGAGTGTGATCCCTTTTATTCCCTGAGCACCTGTTCCATTCATCAAGATTTTACAATGCTGCAGTCACAAGCATCCAGAGCTCCTTACCTTCAGCCCCAGATCCAGTTCCTTGAGAGAGCGTTTTATTTCACTGGTGAGTATGTTCATGCGCTCACATTCCTGGAAGGCAACCACAACATACGGCGTCCTCTGCTCCACCTTTGCCATGAGTTCTGCAATGTTAAACTCATCCGTCAATTTCTCTAACATCTCCTCCAGAAGAGCTTTCACCTGTGTGCCGAAGGGAAAAGAGAGAGGGATGTTAGTGAATGACCCATTGGGCTTCCTCAGCTGACAGCTGCCTGAACACAGGATGAAAACTCCATCTGTCAGTTAGTGTCTCCGAAAACAATCAGTGTCAGCTGTGCTGGGCATGGCACATTTCAAAAAGCTTGCCCATCCTATTAAAATTCAAATGCTTACAAAAGTTAATGTCAGATGAAAAGCTTTCAAAATGATGGTTTAAAAATGTCACTGTGACATGTAGCAGTCTCCTTACTTCTTGGGACTTAAGCCTGTATTCTTACTTCTCCTAAGGTCTGATTCAATGCAAGAAGATGGATGGGGCTATAGCCTCAGATGAGCCTCAGGACAACTGAATTTATGAGCTGTTTTTCTGTGGTATGTTGATAGAGAGAGGTGATTATATAAAATTGAATTTTAAGATTAATTTGGCATTCTGAACTAATAGCATCGTGGAAGAAAAGCACAGTGAAGCAAAATTATTTCGTGGTCAACATTACAACTTGATTTGGAAACAATGCTTTATATCTCTAAATACTAAGCAGGGGAAGCTCCAATGCAACAGGATGTTTCTAGTGTCTAAAAAATAAATAAAACAGACAAAAACTTTTCTGATTGACAATGAGGCATTGGAGACCCTAATTTTCATGGGATCAGCTGCATATCTCAGGTTTACATGGACAGTTAGGCAACTTTGTATGGAAATCTCTCACACAATTCTTTGCTTTACTTCTGTGCTGGAACCTGAGCAAGACTTCTGCTTCTTGGGGATTTTTCAGGAACACATAACGCACAGTTACAATTCTGTGATCTGATGTGCAAAACCTGGCATGCTGGTACCAGTGACAGCTGCCAGCCAGTGACAGAGGCAGCCCAGGGTAATTTTATTGCCATGCCCACTGACATTCATATTTTGGACTCTGTACTCCAATTTCATCCCATTGCTGCTCTTCCAAACCCTCCACATTCGTGTCAGTTGTTACAAAGAGGTGATGATGTGTAGGCTGTTACGCAACCAGCTAGGTGGCTAAAGTTAAAGCTCATCTGGAAAAGCTCTTCAGCTGCATCTCAGATGCAGTATAGAAATATCCTCTAATTTGAAATTCCCCTGCAAATCCCTTTGGCTCTGATTTTTTCACAACAATTACAGCTCATTTGCTGTAATGTGGCCTCAGAAACCTGTGGGAGTAACTGGACTTGTCAGAGCCTCAGGAAAATGACAGGCTTACAGTTCCCCTGCAAACTCCCTAAAACCACCTCAGCCAAACCAGAGGCTGGAAATCCTCAGATGGAGGAGCTAAGAGACAACTCTTAACTCATTCTCATTCAAGGACTAAGTGGAAGGGATACAGCCAGTGCTAGTTATAGCTCAGATAATGTGAGAGGTCACCTCCAGAAGAAAATTACCTGTGGGAGCATCCCCCCAGGCACAATGCAGTGCATTGGGCCACACTCAGGCTGCTTGCAAGCAGCTTTTCTTCTCAGAGACATCACAAAAGCCATGAAGTCTTCTGTGCTCCTGTGACAGTCATCTTGACTGTCACCAGGAATTTGCAGGGTACCCATGCCCTGTGGTACCACTGCTGGATCACTCACTGATAATTTTGCTTCTCTGGCCAAGGAGTTTAACTGTATTTCAATACCAAAAGGACCGGGAGGGGAGAAGAGGTAGTCATATTTGCTAATTTTCAGCATCTCCTTTGGCTTTGCTACCTCTGGATTATTCCCCTCACCTCAAATTCCAGTATGAACTGAAAACTGAACATGCCCAGCACTTCTAAGAGCCCCTTAGGCAAAGGCAGCAAGTTCCCCAGCTCCACACCAAGTAAAAGGAAGTATGTCTGAAACCACAGACTTGATATATGCATTCTATTAGTCATTCATTAATTTGCAAAGCTTGAAACACAGAGCTGGGACCTTAAGACTGCAAAAATAAAAAACTGAGCAAGTGTTGGCTGGTTTCAGATGCTGTTATGAATGCTTGGGCCAGATTTTAATGAGCTGTGAGTTTCAAGGGGAAGGGCTGAGATCAGCCCGGTATATAGGCATAGCAAAGGAGTTCATCTGGAAATAAGAAATTACAAGGCCTCTGGGAGCTTGGGAGCTGGGTGGGACCTGGTGGCAGCAGTAAGAGGTGGGCTGAGCTCTGGGTGGCATATTATACCTGGCAGATGGTGCACTCAGGGAGCCCATTGGTATGCCAGTCACAGCATGGTGCATGGGGAACGGTGGCTCAGAGACAGAGGAGGCCACAGAAGGTTTATTTGCAACGTCTTCACAGGATGATAATGAAGGCACTGCAGTTCAGGGGTAATTGAAAGCTGCTGTCCTATTACTGACAACACTCCAATTACCTCCCACCATGGTGATGTTCTGCATAATATGAGGCTAGTAGTTTTAGACACTTGGTTTGTATCCAGCAAAGGCAGATCACATTATAGTAAGCAGTTTTGAGACAAACCTGAGCTAGACAGGACTACTTATGAATAAAACAGGTATCAAAATTCAACAGCTCCTTCCTCCACCACTCTCACCATTTCTTCCCTGGTCACCACTCCTCCTTCACCCATGCTGGTGTCCCGGGGCTGCATCTCCAACACGATGCGGAAGAGTTTCTCTGAGGTCTGGGTAAGGAAGCCAATCTCAGCATTGGGATGGAGGCCATACAGATAAGGAGACTCCGGAGGCAAGGCATCGTCTATGTACTGTACAGAGAAATTTAGGTTCAGGTTAGATACAGAGTCCAGGGCACTTTGCCTGCAGAGTTCATGGTGCTGGAATTGTCACCCACCCAAGTAAGTAAGCCCAGGCTGATATAACTCTGCCTGTGGCTGAAACACCAGCAAACTGATGGGAGAAAGGAGTGTACAATTATTTACAGAACTGCATCTACTCCTGCTGTGAAAATTCAGTAATTGCTAAAGTTTGGCTTGGCTGCATATCTCAGGCCTGGACCTTCTTTAGCAATTATCCACTGTGCATTGCAGCATCAATATCTGGAAATCTCCTGTGGGAATTTAGCTTTCAGTATTAAGTTTTATGAACAAAACCAGCCTAATATGCCTATCTCTGTGTCCTGGTTTCGGCTGGGATAGAGTTAATTTTCT